TGATTTAAGTAAGATTATCATCAAGAAAGATTGTACTGAAAGTATGGAAGATGGCAGAAAAAATGGCGAAAATGATATCGGACTTAATCTGGAAAAAATAAAAATGTCTGCTTATGGATCTCACAGTAGAGATAAGAAATCAGGATAAAGTAGTGAATCTGTCTCCTATTACTCTTGACCAGTAAACCACGGAGATCTTCAAGAAGGACTATATTTTGCACTTCGGAATGATAGGAAGGCAATCAAGGGCATTTTAGTGGAGGTGATAAATGCCTCTACCTGAGAAATCAAAAAGAGAACTGGAAATGCAAATCATCCCTATAATCTTAGCGAATCAAAAACCCACATAGGGACAATATAACCAAGATATATAGAAAATTGAACAAAAACGATGAAATAGTCCTACAAGCAGACAAAGGAGGTGCCACAATGTTGATGGACAGGGAGAAATATACAGAGAAAATTGAAGATAGCCTTGGGTACATTACAACGTATCGACTACTAACAGAAGACCCAATAGTTAAAATCAAAGGGGCACTGCAAGAAATGCAGTGCCCCTCGGTTGGAACGAGGAAATCGACAAGTGGACCGTGAAATCACTCATTCGAAAGGATGCAAGAGCCCCAGTAGCATACGGTTTGCCGAAGGTGCACAAAGGAGGAAAACCATTGAGACTGATAATAAACAGCAAACATGGACCTACACAAATTGGCGGAATTTATCTGCCTCAAATTAAAGAAAGTGAATGACGGATTATCGAATAGTGTTAAACCCATACAAATTTTGTCAAAGAATAAGAAAATAACATCCTGGAGACTAATCAACCTAAAAATTAGAACGGCCTATTTCACGTTCAACGACCGCATCTCTGTGCAAATATTTGGTCTACCTATGCGCTCAACTCTGTTGGCTGATGTCTTTATGAACAAATTGGAGGAGTATTTCAAAATGTCACCTCAGCAGCCAACAGTAATTATGAGAGATTTAGATTACTACTTTGCAACTTGCCCTCGGATGAAAAAATTAGACGATTTCCTGATCTTCATAAACGAAATGAATGAAAGGTCAAATTTGGCATGGATATGGAAGAGGGCGGTCACTTATCGTTCCTGGATGTGGAAATCATTCGCTCCTAGGAAACTTGCAAGAAAAAACTTTTCTGAAAGAAAGCGTATGCTGGAATAACTCTTTACTTCCAGTTGAACCACACTTATGGGATGAAGATAGGAAAACTCCGGGGTATGATTACAAGAGGCTTATTATTCACTGATTTTGAGTTCTGGGAAGAGGAACTGGGAAAATTAACTCAGAGGTGTCTTGGCAACATATATCAAGAAGACGAAATAGAACTCAACATACGGATGGTGATGAACAGATGGAAGGACGGAGATTATGAAACAAAATCAAGAGAAGCAGGGGAAAACGATGGATAAGTCTATCTACCCAGCTGCTAATTGGCTCGCAAGCTGCGGCCGTAACTATTGAAATGGAATATTAGTACAATCATGAACGAAAGGACAACCCTCTTTACCAGGTTGCCCACACAACATGAAGAAGTCAACAAAATGGAGTGCCCTGAAGTTGACAACACAAACTGCAAGGACTGTGAACAATAATACATTGAAGAGACGGGAAGGGCAATCAGAACAAGGATCAAAGAACACCAGCGACTATGCAGAAAAATGGATACGGAAAGATCGGAGTTAATAAGAGACGATTGCAGTAAATGGAGTTAGATGTAGAATTGTCAAAAATTTACCCAGGATTTTCATTTGTGAGATATAGGATATGAAATTTGAGGCCAAAGCTATAGGTGGGCTAGGTATAGGTCAGCGGTGTGTGTGTGTGCGTTATGTGTATTTTTCGTATCTGTGTCTGAAGAAGATGGTGAATGATGACATGCTTTACCATGAGGGATACCAGCCAACGCACACAGTAACATCATCCCATCTAGGTGTGGGAATTTTAACTTGAGAGACGAGAGGAGTGTGCTTTTCGTGATTTAAAGGAAAAAGGAAAGCGGTGCATTCGCACGGCAGCTGTTATGACTTAAGCTGGACACGGTGCCCCAAAGAATGAAACACAATGTAAATGGGGATGAGGGATAGGATAATTGAGTCATGGGTTTGAAGCCTAGGAGGAGGAAGATTTCAAGGCACTGACATATGCATGGTCATGGCCATTATCTGCCCTAAATCCTCGAATATGGCGCAGTCGAGGACAGGAATTGAAGCCTCTTAGGCAGCCAGATTTGAGCCAGCCAAACAGTGCTTTTGAGGTATAGCAGCAGTCAATTGACAAGTGAGTAGGGGGGCAAAATGTCGGTCAAGAGCCCTGCAAACGGCGTCTGATACCTGAGGTGGAGAGTATTCCGTTTGGCAAAACGTTTGTAGCGACACACTTAGGCAACAGAAGGAAATGAGCGCATAGAATTCTGTGAATAAATGGATGTGCCGTGTAAGTGGGGTTGACTTAAATGGGATGCGGCATTAGAAGGTATAACAAAAAATAATGGTGGGGAGTGTTGTCGCAACGGTTGAACCGAAAATTGGTAAAGGGGACTGCCTTCACTTGTCACTTTGATAAGTTGTAACGCTGTGCTTACGATGGCGCCTCTCACTGACGATATCGGTGAAACGTTTGAATATGAATTTTTGCACTTGCTCCGTAACAATGAATCGAAGGTCGCTTTAGCCTGTAATAAACTATTTTTCGTATTTAAGTGGAGTTTCGAGATTACCAGTATATCAGTAATATGAGATGTATTCACCCTATTTCCTTTAAGTCGATTGTTATAGCAAATATACGTTTACTTCATCGACAATCCCACCAAAGAATATGCTATGGCAAAAGGCCTGGTCTTCCTTGAAATTCACATCTGCCCCGTGACCCGAGGGCACTCGTGGCAATGTGGCCGAGTGGTTAGCGTGTCAAGTTCACATTCTGCACTGTCACGGTTAGACTCGGGCTGGGGATCTTGATAAGACCGATGCGAGGTCGAAACTGCAGTCCACCCTGGATGATAGCAACTTTTGGGAAAGCAAGGCTAAGTGAAATTCAGTGGAAACCTCAGCTCTACTCATATCATTGTGGGAAAATTCTACTACCAGTCCTTTATCACCTTAAACGAAATAGCGTGAATACATCTTATATGCAATAAACTAATTACTAGCGATTAATAACATTAGGGGGAAATTAGACGAAGTTACACGTTTTATCATTCTTATATCTCTTCTACCGGTTAAAAGTTGGATATCGCTCTCTAACCAGTCTTCCATATTTAGATAGACTGGTTTTTAAGCTAGCATCTGCTTCTTTGCCGACCAAAAAATCCTTGCTTGGTTGAATGTACTTCGCTTCTGCCACAATTTCGTATCCACCCATCTGAGGTTGGAGAAACTGACTTATGCTTTGGCTTTTCGTCAAAATATAACTTTGTTTTTGCCAACACGATGTGGTCGAAAACATCACAGACAGGAATAATAATTTACTCATCCAGTGCATTTTGGGGGACTAATTTGAAGGGATCCTAGGGTGATTAAGTTTCTCTCCAAGAAGTATCGATGGTTTTTAAACCAAGTA